TATATATATATATATATATATATATACAATGTACCAGGATTCTGTATACTACTAAGTTGGGGGGTTTCATACAAGTGTATTGCACTACATGCGCATAAATATGATTACAAAAAGAAGGAAAATGCATAAGTACACTGCATAGAGCAGTAATACAACATAAAAGAGAAGCAACCACGTACAATAATATGGGGCCTTCTTAGGAGACTTTGTCTGCCCCACAGCAGCTGTTTGCTGCTTCACACCTGTAAGCAGCAACATCATAAGTTCTGCTGCTGCTGTCACTGCAGCAACTGTAGCAGACCGAGCTGCTGCGACGATGTACGGCAGTAGCAGCAGGGGCTGCTGCTGCTACTGCCACTGTAGGCAGCAGGCTTTGGAGATTACAGCAAAATGTTCCTAAGGGTACCGTTGAAGCCCTTCTTATAAGTTAGCAACACGGAGAGAAGTCCACAGGGGTCCCATATCCGCAACGGCGGCAGCCGGGTCTGTTGGAAGTTGCTGCTGTTCTGCGGGTAAGCAGAAGGTTGTCTCTGTCATGCAGAAGCTGCAAAAGCAGCATTATCCAGCCCCTTGCTGCTCCACACCAGAGGCATCTACCCAACACAGCATGCTGCTGCAGAAGCAACAGCACTTGTTCTCTTAGAGCTTGGCAGTAGGGTTGTTATTTTGAAGACACGGGGGGTGGGGTTCCTCGTACATTTCCTCAATAAATCTTTCATACTTTGCTGCTACAAACTTCCGCCGCAGCTTTAATGTTGCCGTCAATTCGCCACCAGGCACAGAAAAATCAGTAGGCAATACACGCCAAGCCAGCACACGCTGCGCTCTGCAGTAGGAACAACAGCACACGTAACAGCAATAAGACGATGGGCAGCAGCACCATCAGCAACACCCTATCCAGCACAGCAGCACCAACATACTCATCCATAAAAAAAGCAAAGCAACAATATCACAGTAGCTGAGCAGCAACAGCAGATGCAGAACAAACAGTTGCTGCTGTTGCGGATGCAGCAGCAGCTGTTGCAGAGGTCGCAGTAGGAAGCTGCCCTGGTATTGCAGGACAATCCCCAAGCATCTAAATTAAATGACACTATAGTATAAGGAAAAAGGTGCATATAAATGGAATAAGTGCAAGCATGCACCGCTACAGTGCATAATGAGGAGCAGAAGGGAAAGTTTTTTGTATTTGTATACCTTGAGACCGCCTTTTTGTTGGTCCTTTCGAGCCCTGCAAGGATAAGTTTATTAAGAATGGGGTCTTTTGCTGCATCGGTGGTGGTTTTGCTGCTGCTTCCGTGCTGCTGCAGCATGCGAATGACCTCTGGGTCTAATACTGGTGTTGGTGCATCATTTTTATCTTTTTCTGTTTGAATGCAAATAAGAACAGAGAGGAATTTTTTTCTATCTCCGATAAGCATGCAGTTTGCAACAAAGGGGAGTTCTTGGCGAATGGTGCTTTCTATGGGAACAGGAGCAACATTTTCCCCTCCCGCTGTAATCAGCAACTCTTTAACACGACCCGTAATAAAAATAAAACCCTCATTATCAATTTTGGCTAAGTCTCCAGAATGAAGAAAACCCTCCGCATCTATTGCCTCTTGTGTGGCCTTATCATCCCCTAAATACCCCATAAAAATGTTACGCCCGCGAAAACAAAGTTCTCCCTCCCCTTCACTATTCGGATTCAATATCAGCGTCTCTGTACCGGGAAGCGAATGGCCTATACTGCCAATCTTAAACCTGTGCACAACAGCAGCAGCAGCAGCAGCAATAGATGCAGCAGAAGATAAGACAACTAATGTAGAAGTGATGATCACAATTTCAAAAAGGATACCAAAGATAAATACAACTCCCCCTAAGAATATAACCATGAAGATCGCAAATTAACCATAACGTAAACATATATATGCACCTACATGCACAAAGATATTTTTATATAAAGATAAAAAATTAAAAGGGATAGGAGTGTTGATTTGCATATTGAACGTACCAACCAGGAGAAGGCGCGATGAAGGTCTGCGGTCCTGTACTTTCGCTAAGTCCATAGAGAGAGTTAATTGGCATGCCAAGAGAAAGAAAATATTTTTGTGTTTGTGGATCAATAGGAGCAGCACAACTTCCCCAAGCATTACATTGATCAAAACCTAAGGCTTTGCGTACTTGATGTAAGAGGAGTTTATTAACAGCAGGGAATGCCCAATGGGGTTTCTCCCCTTGTAGTAGAGCAGCAGCACCCTTATAACCAACATCTTTAGCAGCAGAAGCAAGCTTTTTACGTAAGGAACCACTCCTTGCTCCTACTTCCTTTAACCGCTGCTCGATCTTCTCCCATATACGCGGCACACCAAGGAACCATGTAGGCCGCACCTTTAACAACGTCTGCAGCAAAGTTCCTCTTAATGCATCAGGTCTTGCAAAGTAAACAGCAGAGCCCATGATAAGAGGAGCAACAAGATCTACGATCTGTGCTGCTACATGTGATAGAGGCAGCAAGGATACGATCCTATCCCCTTTCTTCAGAGATACAAGTTGTGCCATTAAACCTGCAGTCCATGTTATATTGTCATGAGATAACATTACTCCTTTCGGGAGACCAGTGGTCCCGCTGGTGTATACTATGCAGCAGCAACTCCCCGGCTTCTGATGCTCCATGCATGCAGATAAAGAACTATCGGCATGCATGCGACCAAGAGATACAAACTCATCAAACCCTATAACAACACCACCACCCCCTCCTGGTCCTTCCTCTCCAAACCCTGCAGGTACGCGATCCCTATACACCACAATCTGCTGCAGCACGGGGCTCCCACCTGGCAGCATGCGTTTCTTCTGCTGCTGCTGCTCTTGCTGCTGCTGCTGCTGCAGTTGATGTTCTCGAACTGCCAACATTTTCTTTGCATTTTCAAGTGTATCTACAACAGCAATAAAACACTGCGAGTGTTCAACAACATATTTGCATGCGTTTACATTATTTGTGGTGTATATACCCACAGATATACCCCCACTAAATATAGTACCATAGAAAGATATTGCCCATGCAGGAGCATTACACCCCATTATACCTACACGACAACGAGGAGGGGCCCCTATATGCAGCAGCGCCTTAGCAAAGAAGCAGCAATCCGACCAGTAGCCTAACCAGGTATATCCGCACCATCCAGGCAGCAGGTTAGGTACGTAAGAAGGAGGTGCAGCAGATAAAGGAGATGTGCTGCCCTTCGCAAAACATACACATTGAGTACCACCATCGTCCTCCTCCTCAATACCCCTGCCGCTGCTGCTGCTGCTGCTGGGAGGGAAGTGCGGCTCAAACAGCAGCGCTGGGTCAGAGCCAAAACGGCGCACGCAATCGGCAAAGAACTCAACGGTCGTCTGCGGAGGTATTGCTGCAGGACCGCTGCAGCATAACAACAAACAGCAGCAGCAGTAGCAGCAGCAGAAGTGGGAGTAGGAGCAGCAGCAGTTAATAGATATACTATTATTGCTATTGGGAGTGGTTTGACGTTTTAAATAAAAGGGAGGAAAATAAAAGAATAAAACAAACAAGAGGAAGGTACAAGCAGGTGTACAGACACCAGGCGACAGTTGGGCACAGGGAGACCCATCCCAAGTGATACAGCAGGGCTGCTGCAGCTGCTGCAGCAGCTGCCGCCGCTGCTACTTATATGCCGGTACTGAAACTGCTGCTTCTGCAGCTACAGGCTACTGTGCAAGGGCAGCAACTGTTTCTCAGCCAGTGAAGGGGTTTGCAGTCCCAATAGCAGCCACCCGCAGTAGCAGCAAACAACAGCAGCAACAAACAGCAGCAGCAGCACAGCACCAGGATGAATGTGTATTACCTTTCTGCTAGTTTAACAGGGAGTTCTACATCGAGATCAGTTGTCCAGAGGATATCTTTTCCTGCTTTTATCCTTGATTTTAGATCATCAGATAGATTCTCTAGCTGCAGCACGCGACCTACACCTAACTGCTGCTGTTGCTGCTGCTGCTGTTGCTGCTGCTGTTCCTGAGGGGGGTTAAGGCCTGCGTCTCTGTTGCGAAGGACCTGGTGCAGTGATACCTGGATGTTAGTAGAAGGGGAGAAGGCAGAAGACTCATGAGGTTGGATATACCTGCCGGGTTCAGGTAAAGAAAGACATTCAACAACAACCCCACTCATCTTGTAACACAATAAACACCCTCCTGCTGCTGCTTGCTGCTACTCTTTTTTTATCTCCGCGGACGGTCAAGATAATTCTGCAGCAGCAGCAGAAGCTGCAGTGACAACGGGAACAGAACCCTGGGGGGGGAGTCCGAGGGGGAGACAGGCTGCCGGTCGTGTGGGAGAAGACAGACAGACATAAGACGCATGCAACGAATCACCTGCTTCTGCTGTTTCCCTTGCGGCTGCAATTGCTGATGCTGCTGATGCTGCCGCTGCTGCTGCTGCTGCAGGTGCGACCTTCTGACGAAGTTGCCGATCTGTTAGAGAGCAGAAACGCCTCTATAGACTGGAGAGGGGATAGGAGAGGAGGCAGAGTTCAGGTGTATGCTAAGATGCAGCAAGAAGAAAAGGGCAGCAGCAGGCTGCCTGAGGGCCTCCTTTTGCTGAGCGGTCCGTACACCTCAGAGATCAAGAACTAAGCATTAAGAGGTGGAGATTACTTCCTGCTTGTTGCTGCTGCAGCGTGTGTCTGCTCTGGAAACAGCAGAGGGAAACGGAAGCAGCGAAGAAGAGGAAATAATGAGGAGGCACAGATCATCGCTGCAGCAACCTGCAGCCTGAGTTTCCTTGTTTTATTTGCCTTTTTCGGTTTAATTTACTGAAAATGTTCAACTATTGCATTTAAATCAAAGGATCATTGACGTAGACAGACAACTGCACAGCACAGCAGACTGCCGCCGACCTATCGGCCGGACCTGCATGGCAGCCAGTCGCTACTGCTCCAGCAGCCAAATATTGCAAAAGTAGAAAAAAATAAGTAAAAATAAATAAGCATTGTCTTATTATTCAAAACAAACAATTAAAGGACTATTCTATTATTATTTACTCTATCAACTCCGTCCTTGCTTGGCAGAAGGCGTGCCTTAGGGAAACACTGCTGCCCATACAACAGGGGAGCCTTCCCTGTGGCGCTGCAGTGGCGTCATTATGTAGGAGGGAAAATTATAAATAGAGAGGAAAGATAAATTGCATAAATATTATTGAATTATATTAATAAAATAATATTAAAACTAATTGAATACTCTTTCATTTAATAACAAATAAGAGGAATGGTCCCAACCGGTCTCGAACCGGCGACCTTTCGGTTATTAGCCGAATGCTCTAACCAACTGAGCTATAGGACCTGACGCGGGTAGGGTTTAGGGTTTAGATATAGGGTTTATTTAGGACTGGACGTCTCTAGGGTTTAGGGTTTCCATTGATTGTTTAATGCACTAGGTAAGCAGAGATTAGTGTTTAGGGCTTTTAGGGAAAAGCCTTAGTGTTTCTGTTTATGACGCCACTAGGGTTTAGGGTTTATATTAAGGGTTTAATAATACTATGCAGCATATTAAGGTTTAGGGGCCCTAAACCCTTGCACCACCAGGTCCTATAGCTCAGTTGGTTAGAGCATTCGGCTAATAACCGAAAGGTCGCCGGTTCGAGACCGGTTGGGACCATTCTTCTTATTTGCATTAAAATGAAGGCTCATGCTGTTGCTGTTGCTGCTGCTGCTGCTGCTGTTGTTGCTGCTATTGCTGCTGCTGCTGCTGCTCAAATGCTGCTAAGGTAGCGACAACATTAGAAAATGAGTCTTATAAACTTGACATTGTTTTCTTTGCATGCATCTAAGAGGGACACTTTGCATTGTTGCATTTGCGGTGTACGTATATCCCACATATGCTGCAGCAACAGCAGCAGATAGCTGCTGTTGCTGCAGCCAAGACACGGCGCAGCAGCCACATCTACTTTTCAAGCTAACAGCAGCAAGCTGCACATCTAAGATGTGAACGGTGCTGCTGCTGCTGTTGTTGTTGTTGCTGCTGCTGGTGCTAATGATGGTGGTTCCGATGGTGCAGTGTCTCCTGCACCAGCTGCATCTGCTGCTGCTGCATTTGCTGCTGCTGCATCTGCTGCTGCTGCATCTTCTACTGCTACAGGCACTGCTGCTGTGTCTCGTGGAAGTGTAGCACCTACAGCATCTGCTGCTGCTGCTACGGAATCTGCTGCCGCTGCGGCAGCTGTTGTGTCTCCTGCAACTGCTGCCGCTGTAGCACCTGCTGCTACAGCAGCTGCAGCAGCTGCAGCAGCTGCTGCAGTAGCTGCTGCTAGCGGCGACTCCACTGGAGGAATTTTTGCTGCAGCAGCGACAGGTGCATTTGCTTCTCTCCTTCGTTCCTCCAAGACATCTTCAAGTTCTTTTGCTGCTGCTGCTGCTAGTGCTGCCGCTGCTGCTGCTACTGTTGCTGCTGCTGCTGCTGCTGCTTCCTCAGGTGCAGCAGAAAAGCTGTGCCTACAAACGCTGCTTGGCTCTTCTTCCCTTGGGCTGCCTTCATCATCGAAGAGAAAACCGCAATCCTTTCCCGTCAAGTTCTGTTGGCTGCTGCTGTTGCTGCTGCCGTTGCTGCTGCTTGCTGCTGCAGCAAGAGCAAGCTGCGTACAAGGGCAGCACCAACTCTCCGATCTTGTTAGTCCCCTTCTTGTCCAAGCAGCAGCAGCACCGCCAATTAGCTGCAGCCGCAGATGCGCTGGGGCATTCCTGCTGCAGCGCAGCAGCCCTAGTTCTGCTTCGCTTGAGAAGCGCCTCCGCTGCTGCTGCTGCTGCTGCTGCTGGTGTTGCTGTTGCTGTTGCTGATGTTGCTGGTGTTGCTGGTTGTGGTGATGGTGCTCATGCAGCTGTTGCAGTTGCTGCTGTTGTTGCTGCTGGTGGTGGTGATGCTGATGCAGCTGCTGCTGCTGCAGCAGCGCCGCCTCAAGCTCATGCCAACCACCTGTAGCCCAAACATGCAAACCGTCGCCCCTCTCTGAGGGCCCCGAGAAGGTCCTGTGGGGCCCCGCGGCTGCTGCTGCTGCTGCTGCAGAGACACAACAAATACAGGAGACACAGGCAGGAAGCAAAGCTTACAAATGGCTGCAGCAGAGACAACTGCAGCGGCAAAGGAGACACAAACGAAGCAAAAAGAAGCAAATGCTGCAGCACAGGTGACGCGCACCAACAAACCAAGAAGACCTCTGCTGCTGCTGCTCTTCCAGCTGCTGCAGCTCTCCGATCAGCTGCAGCTGCCGCTGCTGTTGGATACGGTGTTGCTGCAGCCGCTGCTGATCTTCCTGTTGCTGCTCCTGTTGGTGCTGGTGTTCCTGATTATCTTCATGCTGCTGGTGCTGGTGGTGGTGGTGCTGCTGCTGTTCATGGTGTTGGGGCTGCTGTTCCTGCACCTGCGGCAGCAGCTGCCCCCCTATGCATTCTCTAGGCGGCGAGTCTTCTGCCAATTCATTTAATACGATGACACCCTCAGGAGCAGCAGCCATCAGCAAAGGAGTAACGACAGAACTTAAGGAAAGAAGCAACGAGGATACACAACAACAGCAGCAGCAGCAGCACCAGCAATAGTAACACCAGCAGAAGCAGCAGCGGCAGAAGCACCAGTAGCAGCAGCTGAAGAAGGGGAGGTGCACAGGAAGACACACAAACAGGGGGGGAAGACCATAGAGACAGCACCAGTACCAGCAGCAGCACCAGTACCAGCAGCAGCAGCAGCAGCAAGAGGAGGAGCAGCAACCTACGAAACCCAGTGGAGGCACGCACACAAAGACCTCCACACAGAACCTTATTTAATACAAATAAACGTAAAACACATTCAACTAATTAAGAGGTGCATGCTAGAAGCAGCAGCAGCAGCAGCAGCAGCATTAGCGGCTGCCCTGAGAAACCAATGGTCTGCTGGGAGCGAGTGTAGCTGCAGCAGCAGGCTGCAGCAGATGAAGCAGCAGTCTTCTGCTGCTAAAATGTCTTTTCCTCTATTTATTATATTGTTTATATTATATTAAAACATATTATAATAAGGAAAATAAATTAATTTAATTAATAAATGCTATTTCTTGTGTATAAACAATGCATCGCTCCTTGCATGCACAAAAGGCGGGGGGGTGTTCATAACGGGGGAGGCCCC